CCAGCACATTGAATATTTGGTGGGGTGGAGATTTCTGGGTTGAAATTAACTTTCTCTCAGAAATTTGAATGCATTGCTCCATCTTCTAGATTACAATTGATTATTTGATATTATTCCTCTTATTTTTTTCTACTTACCCCTCCTTTCTGAAAGCTTCAGAATCAAATGATCTCTTTCTCTGTGGTGTTCTGAAATTTCACAATGACACAGGTGGTGTGGTCTTTTTTCCTTTCATTTTCCTGGGTATTGGATGGGACTCCTGGGAATGTATGTTATGGTTTTGTTGTTGTTTGTTTGTTTTTTGGTAGTACTCTTGGTTTTCTCAGTTCTCACTTTTAGGAGAAAACATAGGTCTCTGATTTAATTATATTATTTTTTAGGAGATTGATTCACTTTACTCTTTCTTTTCTATTACTTTTTTAAATGGTAAAGAAATGACTTATTTGAAAAGATTATTGGGGTGAGGGCTAGAGAGATGCTTTTGCAATAGTCAGAAACTGTTGCAACAGAGGCTGAATGAGTGCTGTGAACAGGGATCTGCAAGCACCTCCTTTCTTTTGTATTTTAATATTGTCAATCGAATTGTCATTTCCAAGAGCTCATTTTGTTTTCTCATTCTTTCTTCTTCTCTTACGTTCCCCTTCTTCCTCCTCACTCTACCCAGTGCCATTCCCCTTGTTTGACTCCTTCTCCCTCTTCCTGGTCTCCCTTCCCCACCCCTTTTCATCCTGTTCTCCTTTTCTCTCTCTTTCCTGTGCTTTTCCTCTTCTCCCTTTCTCCTCCAGCATCCTGTTCAGGATGCGTTGGTGTCACATATGCTCTTATCAGTGAGGACATGACTTAATGGAATTTATTTGTTTGTTTTTCATATACTTTGTTTCAGTTTTCTTCTCTGCTGCATTCTGTTTCCTCCAAATTGCTCTTCTCTGTTTTTGTTTGTTTGTTTGGTCTCCATTTGACGTCTGTTCATCTTTATAAGTGAGGCTCAATAGAGTTGATTGGAAGCTGTGTATCATGAGCAGACTGGTGGGCTTGTGGATGGGTGGGTTTCACTGTAGATAGAAGAGCAGGGAACCAGTTTTTTGGCTGGAGGACACCCCAATATTAGTGTTTCTAAGGTTTTGCTGGGGCTGTTCTGTTCCTTCAAAGAATAAAGATCTCCCAGTATCTTCCACATAAATTAAAAATTACCCTTTATTTTTTATGAATTTAGATATTTTAATTATATTTTATTGAGTATGCTATTACAGTTGTCCCATTTTTCCCCCATTGCCTCCCCAGCACCACGCACAGTCTCAGGTGATCTCTGTACCATTGTTCACGTCCACAGGTCACACGTATAAGTTCTCCAGCTACTCCGTTCCTGATACTGTTGTACCTTACATCCCATGGTTATCTGTAACTACCTATTTGCACTTCTTAACCCCTTCACCTCTGCACCCAATTTCCTACACCACCCTCCCATCTGGCAACCATCAAAACATTCTCCATTATCCATGATTCTGTCTCTATTTTTTTCTTTTCTTTTTTTTTTTTTGAGAGAGAGGAAAGGAGGGAGAAAGAGAGGGAAAGAAACATCAGTGTGTGGTTGACTCTCATGCACCCTGTACTGGGGACCTGGCCTGCAACCCAGGCATGTTGCCTGACTGGGAATTGAACCAGCGACCCTCTGGTTCGCAGGCCAACACTCAATCCATTGAGCCACACCAGCCAGGGCTCTATTTTTTTTTTTATTTGCTTAGTTTGTTTTCATATTCAGTTGTTCATGGATATGTTTATTGCCATTTTATTGTTCATAGTTTTGATCCTCTTTTTCCTAAATAAGTCCCTTTAACATTTCATATAGTAATGGTTTGGTGATGATGAACTTCTTTAGTTTGTCCTTGTAGGGGAAGTTCTTTATCTGACCTTCAATTCTAAATGATAGCTTTTCTGAGTAGAGCATTCTTGGCTATAGGTACTTGCTTTTCATGACTTTGAATATTTCTTGCCAATCTCTTCTGGCCTACAAAGTTTCTTTTGAGAAATCAGCTGAGAGTTTTATGGAAACTCCCTTGTAGGTAATTAACTACTTTTCTCATGCTGTTTTTTTTTTTTTTTAATTTTTAAGATTTTATTCATTTATCTTCAGAGGTGAAGGGAAGGAGAGAGGGAGAGAAATATCAACGTATGATTGCCTCTCATGTGTCCCCCTCTGGGAACTGGCCTGCAGCCTAGGCATGTGCCCTGACTGGGAACTGAAGCGCGATTGTCTGGTTTGCAGGCTCACGTTCAATCCACTGAGCTATACCAGTCAGGCCTCTCCTGCTGTTTTTTAAGATTCTTTCTTTATCTTTAACCTTTGGTATTTTAATTTTGATGTGTCATGGAGTGGGCCTCTTTGCATCCATCTTGTTTGGGACTCTGTGCTTCCTGAACTTGTAAATCTATTTCCTTCACCAAATTGGGGAAGTTTTCTCAATTATTTTTTCAAGTACATTTCCAATTTTTTGCTCTTTGTTTTCTCCTGGCATCACTGTGATGCGAATGTTGGAATGCTTGAAATTGTCCCACAGGCTGCTTACACTATACTGAGATGGGGTATTGTTTTGTATTCTTGTTCTCATTGGTTTTCTTTTGCTTCTTTGTATTTCAAATCATCTGTTTGATTCCTGGTGTCATCCACTCTACTGTTGTTTCCCTGTAAATTGTTCTTTATTTCAATTACTGTGTCCTTCATTTCTGACCGGATCTTTTTTATGTTTTTGAGGTCCACACTAGGTTCCTTGAGCATCCTTATAACTAGGATTTAGAACTGTACTTCTGATAGATTGCTTATCTCCATTTTGCTTATCTCCATTTCATTTCTCTCTTTTTCCGGAGTTTTGATCTGTCCTTTCATTTAGGCCATGTTTCTTTGTCTCATTTTGGCAGCCTCCCTGTGTTTGTTTCTATGTATAATGTAGAGCTGCCGTCACTCTCTGTCTTGGTAGCACGGCCTAACGTAGTAGGTGTCCTGGAGGGTCCAGTGGCACAGTCTCTCCTATCACCCAAGCTGGGCACTTGAGTTGCACCCTTTGTTTGGGCTGAGTATCCACTCCTCTTGTAGTTGAGCCTGGATTGCTGTTGGCAGATCCATGGGAGGGATTTTATCCAGGCCAGTCAGCTGTAAGGACTGGCCATGACCACTGAGCACCATGTGTGTGTTCTTCAAGAGGAACTGCTTGGGACTCCAGCGGTTTCTTCCACTAATTCAATCTCCAGTGGTTTTTGCAGCCAGGAGTTATGGGGACTTATCTTCCTGTCACTGGAGCCCTGGGCTGGGGTGGCCTGATGTGGAGTTAGGACTCCTTGCTCTTGACATGCCCCTCCCAAATTTTTATCCACGTGTGGGTGTGGGACCATCCCATTTCACATCTCCCCTCCTAGTAGTTTGGGTGGATGTGCCTTCTTTAATTCCATAGTTGTTGGACTTCCATTCAACTTGATTTCTGGCTGATGGTTGTTCTGTTGTTAAGTTGTAGTTTTGGTGTGGTTGTGTGAGGAGGCTAGCTGTGCTGTGTGTACCTATGGTGCCATCTTGATCTGAAGTCTCTTGAATTGAGGTATTTTAACATCACATTAGCACAGCTCAGTTTATTCAGTATAATACAGAATTGGACTTGATCCTCCCTATCTGTAACCAGTTTACAAGGGGTGACCAAAAACCCTGGAATTATCTTCTGGAGTGCTGGCCACCTGTTGTACAGGCTTCCCTTGCTAGGTCAGTGTTTAGGAAGCCACTGTTATCAGTGTACAGCTGGCATTGTTGTGAGAGGCTGCGTTCAGGATCAGTGAATTTCTTTTGAGGACTCTTTCAACATATTTGCCCATTTCACGATGGTGATTTACAAGCACACCTGCCCACACCGCACTGCGTGTTCAGGAGTTTTTGTTTAAAAGATTTTATTTATTTATTTATTTTTAGAGAGGGGAAGGAAGGAAGGAAGAAAGGGAGAGAAACATCACCTGCTGTACAACCCAGGCATGTGCCCCGACTGGGGAATCGAACTAACAGCCCTTTGGTTCACAGACAAGTGCTCAGTCCACTGAGCCAAACCAGCCAGGGTGATGTTCAGCAGTTGTTGACCAAAAACAGCATGACCCCCAAACTCCCTATTCACCTGATCTTTCCCCAAGGGACTTAGGGAAACACTGGTATCAGAGCTGCAAATAAAAATAAAGTTTCTTGCCTCAGTGGAGGTTCTATTTATTATTTGTTGTAATTAGCCGTAATGTTGTTTTAATGTTCACATTTTATGTCCTTGTACTTCTCTGGTTAAAATAATGCTAACAGCCTGGGCTGGTGTGGCTCAGTGGTTTTAGCACCAGTTGCAAACCAAGAGGTTACTGGTTTTATTCCCCATGAGGGCACATGCCTGGGTTACAGGCCAGGTCCCCAGTTGCAGGTGAACAAGAGGCAACCACACACTGATGTTTCTTTCCCTTTCTGTCTTCCTCCCTTCTACTCTCTCTAAAAATAAATAAATAAAATACAATATTTAAAAAAATAACACTAACATACTTTTATGTCCATACCAGTGCTTTTAATGATCATTTCTTAATATTATATGCATTTAGATTTGTTTTGAAAAATCTAAACTTGAAATGTTAAAAACTTAATGAACTATAATATATTGGAACATTAACTAAAATAGTGTTTGTTTACCTCAATTCATTTGAGGGCCATGTGTTCTTGAGAGTGCTGTAACAAGTATATAAATGTTGCATCTTCAGCTTTTTGCTATAATCTTTTGCTGATTGTTGTTTTTACATTATCTCTCATATTATAAGATATTGTTAACATTTAAGTCTATGAATTGTGATTCCCAGGATACTTATTTAAGAATGCTATAATAGAAATTTCTGTGGTTCACAGATTTATAGAACTCAAGGAGATTCTTTTTGTAATGTATGTTCTTGAAGCAGTATGTCCCTAAAGATGCTAATAGCTGCTTTCCCCTCTCAATTTCTCATTGTAGGGTCACTAAAACCAACAATGGCATTCATGTCGGGAAAACTGAAGATTAAAGGAAACATGGCGCTAGCCATCAAATTGGAGAAGCTAATGACTCAGATGCATGCCAAGCTGTGACGGAAAAGAAAAAATATGTCGATCTCTAAGCTCAAAAAGTAAAAGGGCTCAACAGTTAAAATCGGATGTTTGTTTTATTCCCTGTTGTATTTATTCCCTGCAATTTTATTCTGGAAAAAAGAATTTATGTATTTGTAAGACTTGAAATTATAATTAAAATAGCTAGCTAATCAAACATAAGCTTCATTAAGTAAAATTCAAAGACATTCTGCTTTTTATGTTTTGTGAGTTTTGCCCTCTGAGCGCTATAAACCATTTGCCTTATTCTAGGAGAAGTATTATGAGCAACCAATCAAGGTCACACAGTAAAGTAACAGCTCTAAAAATCTTCCCATGTAAAATATGGTTAGTTCTAAACTTTTTAATTTGGAGTTGTATACCAATGAAAATCTTAATGACATTTTGCATTTTTATATACTTTAAATATATGTCTGCAATAAATTTTTCTAGGAATCATGTCATAAACTACTTATAAATACTATTTTGTAGACTAATGAAACAAAATCAGATTTTTCATTTTGTTAACTAGCTTTCCTGTAAGTCATCTACAGGAAAATATTATTATAACTCAACTAATATGTATGCTATTTAAATTATGTAAAAATGTCCTAAAATAAAATAATTTCTTCCCCAGAAGTATGCACTTGGTAACAGTGCTTTGAAGTGAAAACATTAGAATAGATGGTCGTTAAAGGCTTAATTGTCTGCCTCCCAATTTTTCTACTGATGTTCTAATTCTTAGTACCTCAGGATGTGACTGTATCTGGAGCTAAAGCCTTAAAAAAAACAATGATTAAATTAAAAGGAGGCTTTTAGGGTGGGCTGATGTCATTATAAGAAGAGGAAATTTGGGCACAAAAGAGAGACAGGATGCACACGCGGAGCAAAGCCCACGTGAGGACACGAGAGGAGGGACATCTGCGAGTCCAGGAGGGAGGCCTCCGAAGAAACCAAATCTCCTGACACCTTGATCTTAGACTTCTCCAGAACTGAAAGAGATTGTTGTTGCTTTAGCCACCCCGTCTGTGGTATTCTGTTCTGGCAGCCCTAGCAGACTCATACAATGGTTGGTTTGTTTGTCTTTTTAAAAAAAGCTAAACTTAAAAAAAATGCCCTTTCATTTTAATCAGTTAAAAATACTTGCTGAGTATAATACTTTTACTTTTTTTATACTTACTCATATTATTGTGCTATTAAGCAAATTAACTAATTCCTGCATTTCATATAGAATCGTAATGTCAGGGGATTTAGTATGTATTTTATAAATGGGGAAACAGAGGGTCAGAGATGGGGAAGGACTAGCCCGATGCCAAAATTAACAAGCCCTGGCCAACAAAAACTTCCCAATACATTAGCCTTGAACAGAACTTGAAGGCCCCACCTTCTACTCCTTGCAGCCCAGATGGAGTGACTTTGAGTGGTGGCCTTACAACACCCTTGGCATGTCCCATTTCTAGTTCCAAAAGGATCCCGTTCACGAGGGATGTCAACTGCCTCCTTTTCTATTGAAGTCTAAAAACTTCTCTACTTTCTCTGCATTCTCCATATGGTCACAAAGCTTTGGGAATATAAAAAGTAGGAAATATTGTGGGTCAGGAATTCTGGTTTCTGGTCACTAAAACACATGAACTTGCTAATAAAAAGTCTTTAAGATATTGAAACTTCACAAGAGCCTTGGTTTTCACATTAATAATTGAGGGAGTTAGATGAGGTTATCTGCAGCCCCTTTGCACTTATTACGAGGAAAGTCTGAGCAATCTGCAGTCTTCCATCAGAAGTGAAGGTAGTCAAATCCATATTCCAGAAGAAATCTACATTTCTTCAATAAATGTCTTTTATTTTACATGGCTGGATACCTTCTGGACGGACCTCACACATGGGATCATTCAGGTGTGAGAAACTCAAGGGGATGGTTAGAACTTGAGCTGATATAACATCTTAACAAAATAATTGTTTTAGAGAAGTTAACACAAAGAAAAAGAACGTTGAGTTTCTAGTATGGCAAAGAGTGCAAAGAAAAACTATGGGGATTGTATGGTAAGAATATGTTCAGTTTTATAAGAAACTGCCAAACTGTCTTCCAAAGTGGCCATACCATTTTGCAGTCCTACCACCAGTGAATGAGAGTTCTTGTCCCTCCATATTCTCATAAGCATTTGGTTGTCAGTGTTGTGATTTGGGCCACACTGAGAGGTGTGTAGTGGTATCCCATTGTTTTCATTGAACTCCCTAAGGACATACGATGTTGAACGTGCCTACTTGTATTTGGTAAAGTATCTATTTGGGTTTTTGGCCCATTGTTAAATCAGGTTGTTCACTTGTTTTTTGTTTTGTTTTAAGGGTTCTGTGTGTATTTTGGAAAACAGTCTTTTGTCAGATACATGTCTTTTGCAAATATTTACTCCCAGTCCTTGACTTGTTTGCTGGTTCTTTTGACGTTGTCTGTCATAAAGCAGAAGTTTTTCATTGCAATGAAGTCCAGCTTATCAGTCATTTCTTTCATGAATCATGCCTTGTGTTTTGTCTAAGAAGTCATTGCCATACCCAAGGTCATCTAGGTTTTATCCTGTTATTTTCTAGGAGTTTTATAGTTTTTCATTTTATATTTAAATCAGTGATCCATTTTCAGTAAATTAACTTTTGTGAAAGGAGTAAAGTCTTGGCTTACATTCATTTTCTTCCCATGTGGCTATTTGTTCCTCTGCCATTTGTTGGAAAGACTATCTTTGCTCCTGTTTCAAAGAGTCAGTTGACTATGTTTGTCTCTTTCAGGGCTCTCTCTTCTGTCCTGTTGATTTATTGTTTATTCTTTAACCAAGGAACACTTCTCGGTTACTATAGTGGTATATTAAGTCTTGAAGTCAGGCACTGTTAGTCTTCCAACTTTGTTCTTCTTCAACATTGAATTAGGTACTCTGGGTCTTTTGCATCTTCATATAACTTTAGAATCATTTTTGTTGAGATGCTCAAAATAACTTGCTTTTTTTTTTTTTTTAAACCTCACTCAAGGACATGTTTGATTTTAGAGAGAAAAGAAGGGGGAGAGAGAGACAGGCACATGGATGTGAGAAACATTGATCAGTTGCCTTCCGTACATGCCCCTACTAGGGATAAAATCCACAACCTAGGTATGTGCCCTGGCCAGGGGTTGAACGCACAACCTTTGGTGTACAAGATGACATTCCAACCACCCGAGCCATCTGGCCAGGGCAACTTGCTAGAATTCTGACTGGCAAGAACCCACTGAATTCACTGAACCCACTGGATCTCTATTATAGTTTCAGACAAATATATGTCTTGATAATATTGTCTCTATATCCATTAACATGAAATACCTCTTCACTTACTAAGTAGTTCTTTGATATCATATTAGAGTTTTGTAGGTTTTCTTGTATAGCTCTTGTACATATAATGTTAGATTGTACGTAAGTATTTCATTTTGGGAGTGTTAACGTAAATGGTAATAAATTATAAATTTGAATGTTCACTTATTCACAGCTGGTATATAGGAAAGTGATTGACTTTTGTATTTTAAACTTGTATCCTAAAACTAATCATTGATTAATTCCAGGATTTTTTTGTCAATTGGTTCAGATTTTCTACAAAGACAATAATGTCATCTATGTATAGTCTTATTTTTTCCTTCCCAATCTTAACTTTTATTTCTTTTTCTTGTGTTATGGCATCGGCTAGGACTAACAGTATGATGTTAAAAAGCAGTAGTGAGAGTGGACATCCTTGATCGTGATCTTAGTGGAAGTTCTTCAAGGTTCATTTATATTTTAGCAGGTGACATTTCTTAAGGCTGAATAATATTCTATTGTATGCACATGCCACCTTTTGTTTATCCATTAATGGCCATTTGAGCTGCTTCTACTTCTTGGCTATTATAAATAATGCAGTGAAAGTAAGTAGGTAAAAGTCTCAAGCTCTTGCTTTAAATTCTGTTGGTTCCAATTTTTCCACAGGATTACATATTTGAAATATGTAGCAATTAACTTTTTTTTGTACAGACATCATTTTGTCAAAAATGTTTGCACAGATTTTATATTCAGCCTAGACCAGGAGGAATGTTGATAGAGCCAGGTATTAAGAATCCTTTCCTCTTTGTTCAGAAGTTAAGTATTTGTCAGCCTCGGTCATATTCTTGTCACTGTTACCTTAAGAATGTAAGTGACCGAGGTTTCCCTGTCACATTTGGGATGAGGTCAAGATGTGAGCCCCACCCACATGCAGCTAATCAGATATGCTCTAAATGTCATTATTAATCATCACTATTTTGGAGATGCTCAGTTCTGTAAGTAGAAAGTTAGGAGCCTGGCTGGACACTGCAGCCAGAGTACCTGGGATGAATCTGAGTTCCTCCTGCTGTGATGTGAAGTTGGGCAGATTTGGACGTTTCTCTGTGCCTGTTTCCCTGTCTATAAAACAGAAATGCTAACACCAACTTCATAGTGTTTTTAGGATTAAATAAATTAATATTGGCTGAGCACTTTGCTGTATGCAGTGTGAATTCCGGGCATAAAGTGTTTGCTAGGTAAAATATGGGTGGAGGGTACCTGGTAGTACGTAGCATGTCCAACCTACTTCTTTTGTGATGAGCCATATAGGTGGTATTTATTGTATGGACTCCTTGGTCTCCGCGCGTTTTAGGTGTTTTTAGCGGCCCTGCTCCTTCCGTGGGAAGGATGCTTGTGTTGCAGTTGGATTAGGAAATTCCACCCGGCAGCGGTCAATGTGGGTTGTACGTCTGTTGGTCAGAGTGTTCTTGCACAAGCTTGTGCGTAAAAGAGGTGACACACACTTGCCATCCGCGGAGTGTAAAGAGGTCTGCTCCCAGCTTTTAGGTGGAGCTGTAAGAAGCTCCAAGTGGCAGCCGGGACCCCGGGACCCCGGGCGTGAGGCAAGAGGGGGTGCTGCCCACCTCGGAATGAGCCAGGGAACGTGGGTTGCACACCTTTCCGGGTGCAGAGACCAAGCTCATGAACATGTGTGTTTAGTAGTAGGATGGTCGAGCCACGCGTCCTCGGGTCAGCGACTGCGGCGAGCTCACGGCGCCCGTCGTAGGACTGCCGTTTACACACTTCCTGTGGGTCTCGTGGACCACGGAGCGTTTCCGGTGCCCGCTGGAGCCCGGGTCCGAGCCCCCGCCCGCTGGCTGGCCCCGCCCCGCCCTCGCCCCGCCCCTAGCCCGCCAGCCGCGCTCCGAAGAGCCGGGTGCCAGGCGCCCGGGGAGCAGGAGCGCTGTGCGCTGGTCGGGGGAGCTAGGCTGGCGCCTCCGCACCCCACTCCGCGCCGTCGTGCGCCGCCATCCCGCGCCTTCCCCGCTCCGTGTGCCGTCGCTGCCCGGCCCTCCGGCCGCTCTCCCTCCCTCCCCTCCGTCCCGCCCCGTCCTGCCCGGGTTGCCGGGCTCCTGCCGGCCCCCTGCTGCCCGCGTTCCTATGGACAGACGCACAGACACCTGCAGGTGAGTGAGAGCCCGCGTGCAGCAGGGGGGCGAGCGCGCCGGCACGCCAGCCGTGGCCTGGGAGTCCCTTTGTGTAGGGGGCGGCCACGCTGGGGTCTCGTCTGCATCCCCTTCGGCAGCCGCGCTGTGACCCGGCTGAACCCTTCTTTTGTCTCCTCTGGGCGGGGGGAGGGTGGGAAGGCCGAGAGTCCGGGCTGGGAGCTGGGCAGCCGGACGTGGTAGTCGGTGGCGACGGGCTTGGGGGCGTGACGGGCGAAGACCCCGCGCAGCCGAAGGTCCCCCAGCGAGTCTCGGCGCCACCGCTTGGTCCGCCCGCCGCCCAGCATCTCCTGTCGCCGTGCGTGCGCACAGCTCGCCTGCCCCTGCTTTTGGGTTTGTTTGAGGGGGAAAGAGGGCGGGAAGGAAAGAAAAGATCTACCCTCTTAGTTTCTAAGTCTTGAGATGGTGTGAGGAGAGGTGGTTCGGGCTTTGCCCGACTTGTGTGTCTCGATGGAGGCACGCGGAGGTGCGTTTGGGGCGTGTGTGTGAAGGAACGTGCAGCGCTTCGGTGTCTTATTTATTGTTTCTAACGGAGGAGGGCTTTCTCCGAAAGACTCTCCCCCGCCCCCCATCTGAGGCTGCGCACAGTGATTTGTGTTTGTTATCAAATACATCCAGAAATGTATTTCCCTGGGTGGAAGGAGGTTGGGCTGGCGAGAGTCAAACCAAAATCAAAGAATGGTTGTGGGATTTCGGGTGACTTTCTTTTCTTTTTTTTTTTTCTTTTCTTTCCTTCTCGTTAAGATAGGGACTTAAAGGCGAGAAATAAAAGATGAACATGGCTGTGATTTTTACAGTTTTTTATATATGTATATTTTAAAGTTTTGGGGTAAAGTTTTGTTATCTCCCAGACTCCTTAGGATTAGCATGATAGAATCTTTTACCAAGTACACAGTTAACAAGTGAGTGTCAGGAAGTGACAGCTTTCACGGTGGAGGTTAATTTAGACTGCAGTAAACAATTACCTAGCTTACCATTTAGGCTGAAACCTTTCTTTTTTGCTCATTTGAGATAGATCTTTCAGTGTGATATCCCGCCCCCCATGATTGTGTTTTCCCTATTTTATTATATTATTCATGAGTACTCTGTACATAACCCAACGATTGGGTTGTATATTTAGTGGATACAGTGTTTTGAAAACTATCGTGATATTTCTGATTTATATATTCTGGCTACATTTCTTAATAAGCAGTTGCTGTGTGTTTCAGATGCTCAAATAATAAATGAAGTTGAATAAACACCCAGAAAATTAATTTTACAGATTCAGATTTTTAGTGCAGGTATGGATTTATATATTTTTATTAATTTCAGTCTGCTGCACACTTATGGATACTTTTTATTTATTTTCCCCTGTTGTGTCAAAGTCCATATTGACAAACTTAAATATCACAGTTACCAAGCATAGTATAAAAAACTGTTTGGGGGGCACTCAGTTACATGTACAGATATATGTAGAAAATGGAGGCTTTGTTAAAAAATAAAAAAATATATATCTAAAGGAAAAACATGGTGGGAAAATATTTGTTTAGATTTTCATCAAGATGTAGAAATTCATCAGAAAACAATATACAATTTAAGCAGTTTTAATTAGGCAAACTGAGTTTTGTCATTTAAAAAAGAAAACAAGCATACCTAAAATAGTGTTTTCTGGAAGAAAAATTATTCTGAATTCTTGCCTTAGCTGCATTAATTGATTAATATCATTGCATGCCTAATTTTGTACATGCCTGGAGTGTACGTTTTTTGTACACTTTTAAAAATAGGAGAGGCCACATCTAACAACAATCTTGCCAGCCCCTTTGAGTTGATCGAATTGTATTAGTTCCTAATAAAGGAACTGTATTAGCAGGAACTAATGAAATAAGAGGTAATCTAGACTATATCTTCCAGTCTAGATTAGATAAGTGAATTAAAACTCTTCGCACAGGTATGGAGCTCTGTACCAGTTGCTGATAGGCCCTTGAGCAAGGTTCCTCTTTTCCATTAAGGATGGCCCCCGGAGGATGGGTATTGAAATCTGTCCAGGCTTTATCCTGAATGGTGGGTTGGAGTTGTAAGATTCTCCCACAGTTTCAGATCTTATACACTCTTCATCAGCTCTTAGAAGTATTAAAAGAAATAAGCAAACAAATTGAATTGCTTGTTTATGTATTTATTTACAAGGCTGTGAGTCTTAGTGATAAGGGCTACAAAGAGTCACTGTGTAAACTAAACAGTAAGAGAGTGTGGCCTGTGTTGAGAACTGCTTGGCAGAGTTGTAGTTGTGCTTAAACAGTTTTCTGGGATTGGCAGTACAACTGGCTGTCTTTTTTGTTGTTTGGGTTTTTGACTGTGATGTGTAGATATTAATTTTGGGGGTTTTGTGTAATTAACAGTTTTGCTGTAATCAAAGGCATTCCAGAGAATCTTGCATATTTTCAACTGATTTTCCTTTTGGTATGTTGTTGTTTAGGAAGACATATAAATTATTTTTCACTTTTCATGGTTGACATTTCTTACTGCTACTTTGAAATTTTAAATTTGTATAAAGTTGGATTTTAAATACAGCTGAGCAGTATAAACTGACACCAGATTTTTTTTTAAAAAAACAACATTAAGCTCTCCACAGTTAAATTGGTAGGCTTAAAAATCCATGGGCTTGTCTGCTCTTCCTGTTTGTTAATTCTCAGTGTGGTACCTTTCAAGGCAACTCAGAAATGTTCCAGTGAACATAAACTGGAACCCTCAAATGACTAGTATTATCATTAGTAATAACCAAATAGAAAGCTGAAAAGTAATTTCAAGTCCTTTTGTGTGTGTAGTTTTTGTTGCCTGGTAGGAAAGCAGGTCTGACTGGGACAGTGACCTCTTATTCTAGCCTTTATGTTCTGCATTGTTTAAAAATAGTGCAAACCCTTGCTGCTTGCAGAAAATGTAGAATTTACTCTTGGATTAATATTCTGCTACCAGATGTATGAGGCTGGCTCTGAAGTGGCTTTTTCTCTTAAATACTGTCAAAAATAGGAAAGCTGAAGATTGGAGAGAAGCCATTTATTTTGAACAGTTTATTTTCTGACAGTTTGTGTTTGTAAAGAAACCTGTTCATAATATTACTTGAGAGATCTGTACAGTTGCTAGCAGAAGCACCACAGGTTTCTTTCTTTTTTTATCTTTAAAAAAGTTCCATCTGAGCTTAATTCTTCCATGATACTTTTTGACTTTGCTTTTGATTAGTTGATTTATGGGACTTTATTTACCAACATAATGGGAGAATTCTTTTGCTATCCTGAAACTGCACTCTGCCTGTGCGCTGGTCTGTTTCCTAGGTAACAAATGCATTGCATAGATTCCATAATGAGGACTGTGGTTGGCTAGTTACAGTGTAAATTCTGTTGTTTGGTAAAGCTTAGTCTCATTCAAATAAAGGTCAAGAATCCAAAAGTACTGAAAATGCACATTTTTGAATTTTATTTTCAATATCAACAAAGTTTAATATACTTTTCTGGAGAAAGGCACATTATGTAAAAGTATTCAAGTTTGTTGCAAGTCTTACACTTGAACAGTTGAAGAGCTTTTTGACTTTTTCATATTGGTAATACCAGTGGCTCTAGTGCCAAAGAAGATGTATTTCAGAAACACTTTATCACACTTACAATATAGAAAGCAAAGGGCTTTGGTCTAGGTCATCAGTAATTGGCTCATTTGTACTGAGGGAAGAAAAAAACTCATGTATTTTAAAAGATAAATTGCATAACTTTATGTAAAATACTCATATAACTTGAAAAATGTTAAGACTTAAAGCATTTAATAACCTTTCTGAAAACATTAAAAGTCTTACCATAAAATCACACATTTTACTTGCACTTCTCCTTCTGTCTGTCTGAACTTTGCCCAGCACCAGGGGACGGGTCTGAGAATAGCTCTGCATCACCTTCCTTTCCCCTTGGAATCTCCAGTCTCTGTCACTCCAGATCCAGGGCAAGATGTAGTGTGCAGTTGCTGGTAACTATTATGTATTCATTTTAAAAAACTTGCAAAGAGCCTTGGGTGGTATAGCTCAGTGGATTAAGCACAGGTCTGAGAACCAGAGAATCGCAGTTCAATTCCCAGTCAGGGCACATGCCTGGGTTGCAGTCTGGTTCCCTGCAGGCCAGTTCCCAGCAGGGGATGCATGAAAGGCAACCATACATTGATGTTTCTCTCCTTCTCTCCTTCCCCTCAAAAGATAAATAAATAACATCTTAAAAAAAAAAAAACTTGCAAAGAATCAGATATCTTTTCATTTGATGCCTGAAAATGTTTCTTCTTTATTAGTCATCAAAGATTTTGTTAGCTAAATTTTTAGTAAATGTTTTAGCTTTTGTTATGTTTCTTGTTTGCTAATCATCAAGGCTTTTGTTTGCTGAATATTTTAGTAATTATTTACAAGGAAAGATTTTGTTACATTTTTTCTTTTGAATTCTAAAGAATATCCAAACTTGCCCCCATTACTTTCCCTTGCTTGGATGGATTGTTTTTGGATTATTTACCCTTTTAAAGTTCATTTTAATTTCAGGACCAGGATATATTTTGGTTGGATTCACTCTTGGTTTTCCTCAAAACTAGCACTACATTAAACTTTTCCAATTGCAAATATATCCTCTCAGTTTTCCCTGGTAAATATTTACCGTTTAAATTTTTTTTATCATTACATTATTAAGTCATAATCACTACATATCAAAAACTATACTTTTCTGTGCTGTCTGGGTAGCTCAGTTGGTTAGAGGAGTGGTCCCCAGCCTTTTTGGCACCAGAAACTGGTTTTGTGGAAGACAGTTTTTCCACCGGCAGTGAGGGGGGGAGGGTGGGGGCAGGGTGGCTTTATAGCCTGCTACCAAATGCAGCGTAACGGTCACCGGCCACTCACTGATGGGGTTTTGATAGGAGTCTATAAGCAATTGATGTATTACGGTCTCTGTGCAGTCAACTTTCTCTGCTGATGA